CTTAGCTCTGCTACAGTCGCTGAGTCTACAAAACCAGTATTAATAACATTTCGACACCTATAACACTGTAGTTAGTTAGTTAGTCTTTCCTCTTGTGTCGAGTGCGGCACATAGGGCAGAGGTCATGACTCTCCATGCATGGCGGTTCGTTGCAATCTGTTGTAGGTCTTGGATGTGAGTGGCCCATGAGCGAGCCTTCCCTGATGATAGTTCTACGTAGGGTTTCCCTTGGTCTTCCACGAGATCTTTTCCCCTGTGGTGTCCAAAGATCTCGTAGTGTGCGAGTTAATGACTTTGTGTGTTTGTGTGTGTGTGTGTGTGTGTGTGTGTGTGTGTGTGTGTGTGTGTGTGCGGTTGTGTGTTTGTGTGTGTGTCATAGAAGGGGAGAGGAAGGGGTGGTGGGGACCTCCTCAGTTCTTTGAACAACCAACTCGTGTCACGATGTACCTCGCCTTCTGAAGTTGACCGGTACCTATTTCGACAACATGCTTTGGTTCACGAATGTAACTACTTTGTTTTTGTTAAGATCAATGGGGTAGTTGCTGGATCAACAGAGCTGTTGCTTTGTGCTACACTCATTCTCAGTTCCAGAATATGAGAGCCGTGTTACATGTCGCTGGTGTTCGGTTGCCACTCTGGTGTTAGTTGTTCAGTTGTTGCTCTAATGTTAGTTGTTCTAATGTTGCTCTAATGATAGTTGTTCTATTGTTGCTCTAATGTTAGTTGTTCTGTTGTTGCTCTAACGTTAGTTGTTCTATTGTTACTCTCATGTTAGCTGTTCTGTTGTTGCTCTAATGTTAGTTGTTCTATTGTTGCTCTAATGTTAGTTGTTCTATTGTTGCTCTAATGTTAGTTGTTCTATTGTTGCTCTAATGATAGTTGTTCTGTTGTTGCTCTAATGTTAGTTGTTCTATTGTTGCTCTAATGATAGTTGTTCTATTGTTGCTCTAATGTTAGTTGTTCTATTGTTGCTCTAATGTTAGTTGTTCTATTGTTGCTCTAATGATAGTTGTTCTGTTGTTGCTCTAATGTTAGTTGTTCTGTTGTTGCTCTAATGTTAGTTGTTCTGTTGTTGTTCTGTCTCCTAACATATTCTTCTTGTAAATGTTCATGCGGTGTGGCATTTGTAATCATTTCTATCCACTACCATCTGTCTCCTAACATATTCTTCTTGTTAAAGTTCATGCGGTGTGGCATTTGTAATCATTTCTATCCACTACCATCTGTCTCCTGACATATTCTTCTTGTTAAAGTTCATGCGGTGTGGCATTTGTAATCATTTCTATCCACTACCATCTGTCTCCTGACATATTCTTCTTGTTAAAGTTCATGCGGTGTGGCATTTAAAGTCATTTCTATCCACTACCATCTGTCTCCTGACATATTCTTCTTGTTAAAGTTCACGCGGTGTGGCATTTAAAGTCATTTCTATCCACTACCATCTGTCTCCTGACATATTCTTCTTGTTAAAGTTCACGCGGTGTGGCATTTAAAGTCATTTCTATCCACTACCATCTGTCTCCTGACATATTCTTCTTGTTAAAGTTCACGCGGTGTGGCATTTAAAGTCATTTTCTATCCACTACCATCTGTCTCCTGACATATTCTTCTTGTTAAAGTTCATGCGGTGTGGCATTTAAAGTCATTTCTATCTAATACCATCTGTCTCCTGACATATTCTTCTTGTTAAAGTTCACGCGGTGTGGCATTTAAAGTCATTTCTATCCACTACCATCTGTCTCCTGACATATTCTTCTTGTTAAAGTTCACGCGGTGTGGCATTTAAAGTCATTTCTATCCACTACCATCTGTCTCCTGACATATTCTTCTTGTTAAAGTTCATGCGGTGTGGCATTTAAAGTCATTTCTATCTAATACCATCTGTCTCCTGACATATTCTTCTTGTTAAAGTTCACGCGGTGTGGCATTTAAAGTCATTTCTATCCACTACCATCTGTCTCCTGACATATTCTTCTTGTTAAAGTTCACGCGGTGTGGCATTTAAAAGTCATTTCTATCCACTACCATCTGTCTCCTGACATATTCTTCTTGTTAAAGTTCACGCGGGTGTGGCATTTAAAGTCATTTCTATCCACTACCATCTGTCTCCTGACATATTCTTCTTGTTAAAGTTCACGCGGTGTGGCATTTAAAGTCATTTCTATCCACTACCATCTGTCTCCTGACATATTCTTCTTGTTAAAGTTCATGCTGTGTGGCATTTAAAGTCATTTCTATCTAATACCATCTGTCTCCTGACATATTCTTCTTGTTAAAGTTCACGCGGTGTGGCATTTAAAGTCATTTCTATCCACTACCATCTGTCTCCTGACATATTCTTCTTGTTAAAGTTCATGCTGTGTGGCATTTGTAATCATTTCTATCTAATACCATCTGTCTCCTGACATATTCTTCTTGTTAAAGTTCACGCGGTGTGGCATTTAAAGTCATTTCTATCCACTACCATCTGTCTCCTGACATATTCTTCTTGTTAAAGTTCATGCTGTGTGGCATTTAAAGTCATTTCTATCTAATACCATCTGTCTCCTGACATATTCTTCTTGTTAAAGTTCACGCGGTGTGGCATTTAAAGTCATTTCTATCCACTACCATCTGTCTCCTGACATATTCTTCTTGTTAAAGTTCATGCTGTGTGGCATTTGTAATCATTTCTATCCATTACCATCTGTCTCCTGACATATTCTTCTTGTTAAAGTTCATGCTGTGTGGCATTTGTAATCATTTCTATCCACTACCATCTGTCTCCTGACATATTCTTCTTGTTAAAGTTCATGCTGTGTGGCATTTGTAATCATTTCTATCCACTACCATCTGTCTCCTGACATATTCTTCTTGTTAAAGTTCATGCGGTGTGGCATTTGTAATCATTTCTATCCATTACCATCTGTCTCCTGACATATTCTTCTTGTTAAAGTTCATGCTGTGTGGCATTTGTAATCATTTCTATCCATTACCATCTGTCTCCTGACATATTCTTCTTGTTAAAGTTCATGCGGTGTGGCATTTGTAATCATTTCTATCCACTACCATCTGTCTCCTGACATATTCTTCTTGTTAAAGTTCATGCGGTGTGGCATTTGTAATCATTTCTATCCATTACCATCTGTCTCCTGACATATTCTTCTTGTTAAAGTTCATGCTGTGTGGCATTTGTAATCATTTCTATCCACTACCATCTGTCTCCTGACATATTCTTCTTGTTAAAGTTCATGCTGTGTGGCATTTGTAATCATTTCTATCCACTACAATCTGTCTCGTGTACTTTTAATCAACTCTGACTCGGATGATCCTCTATGTTATGGAGTCAAATTGTCCATCATCTTTTCTCTCCGTCTCCCTCTGCCTCTCCTCCCCTCCTCCTCTCATACCGTCACCAGGTACTCCAGTTTTCTCCTTCTCATCCCATGACCAAAGAATGCAAACTGTTTCTTTCTGATGTGGGCTATCAGTTCTCTTCGTGAGTCAGTTTCTTTCAAAACATCTTCATGACGATTTTTATCTGTCCACGGTTTTCTCATCTTTCGTCTATAAAACAACATCTCCGCAGCTTCCAAATAAGCTTTCACAACTTAACTAACTGTCCATGATTCACATTTTGTCAAATGCAGCCTTTGCTTGAGCTATTCGACATCTAATTTCTTTAATATATCTTCTATCTGAAATTTTCAGGGTACCCAAGGACTTAAACATATCAGCTTGCTTGATGTTTGTTCCTTTTACTTTGATGCTGCATTTAAGAGGGTCAGTTTTCTTTATAATTACCATTAATTATGTTTTTTTGCTGTTCAGAATAAGACCCTTGTTTTGACTTTCCATTACAGTTACATCCATCATAACTTGCAGCTGTGTTTCATTTTCAACGATCAAAACTGTATCGTCAGCATATCGTAGGTTGTTTACGATACGCCCAGCAACCGATATTTCCGGCAAAGCATGCGTAGTTCTAATCATTATTTCACGGTAAACATTGAATGAATCGGGCGAGAGTACGCATTCCTATCTAACACTTTGTTTCAAAAGTTGTCAATGGTTGCTTCTTGTTGCCAGTATATGTTATTTTTATTATTCTCAGATCTTCTACATCAATGTTTAAGGTTTCCAGAATTCCAATAACTTCTTCATGTTTCACGTGATCAAATGCTTTAGCATAAGCAGTCAAGCACAAATGCAGATCTCTGTTCATGACAATAGCAAATATCGCATCAGCTGAAAATTATCATTTAGTGACATCAAAAGTAACAAAAACGGCACAGCTATACTTGTTGTTGTTTATGTGTTCGGTTAGCTTGCCAGCGGGCTGCCAATCAGTTTTCTCAGTTTTTGTGTTAGGCGCCTGTAACAATGGTTTGAGAAACGCTGGCTTAGGATAACTAATGACAACACTTGTCATACCCTGCATTTATCCGGATACTTTCCGGGATCGACTCTGCCCTGTGCAATAGATATTAGACACTTTTCAGAGTGACTTTATGTTCAATCTTCCCAGGTACAATAGATATTAGACACTTTTCAGAATGGCTTAATGTTCGATCTTCCCCCTCCCCTTTCAGTAGATATTACAAACTTGCCAGAGTGGTTTATGGTAAATTCCCCCCCCCCCTCCCTCTTCCGTACAATAGATATTAGATATTTGCCAGAGTGGTCGATCCTGCCCCGTACAATAGATATTAGATATTCGCCAGAGTTTCTCATGAACTGTCTGGGCTGGAAAGTTGGCGAGAAAGGGAACAGATCAGCTCACCTCATGATGATATGTCCTAGCCTCGTTGACAGAATCTGCTACAGGTTAACTCTAAACTCTGAAATCATGAACACCACAGCGAGAGAACTTGTAAACTATGAATGTACTGTAAGGGGGCGGGGGGGGGGGAGGGGCGGGGGGTCTAAATCATGAAAAGAACAAACAGAGAGACATGTAAACAATGAACACGAAAATGAAAGAAACTTTTTAACTTCGAGCTAAACAATGAGAGTGTAAGTCACAGCTCAGACTTTACCAAACCAACTACACAACCAACTACAGAACCAACTACAGAACCAACTACAGAGATAGCTACAGAACCAACTACAGAACCAAATACAGAACCAACTACAGAGATAGCTACAGAACCAACTACAGAACCAGCTACAGAACCATCTACAGAACCAACTACAGAACCAACTACAGAACCAGCTACAGAACCAACTACAGAACCAGCTACAGAGCCAGCTACAGAACCAACCACAGAACCAACTACAGAACCAACTACAGAAGCAACTACAGAACCAGCTACAGAACTAACTTCAGAACCAGCTACAGAACCAACTACAGAACCAACTACAGAACCAACTACAGAACCAACTACAGAACCAACTATAGAACCAGCTACAGAACCAACTACAGAACCAGCTACAGAACCAACTACAGAACCAACTTCAGAACCAACTACAGAACCAACTACAGAACCAGCTACAGAACCAACTACAGAACCAACTACAGAACTAACTACAGAACCAACTACAGAACCAACTACAGAACCAACTGCAGAACCAACTACAGAACCAGCTACAGAACCAACTTCAGAACCAACGACAGAACCAACTACAGAACCAGCTACAGAACCAACTACAGAACCAACTATAGAACCAACTACAGAACCAACTACAGAACCAACTACAGAACCAACTACAGAACCAACTACAGAACCAGCTACAGAACCAGCTACAGAACCAACTACAGAACCAGCTACAGAACCAGCTACAGAACCAACTACAGAACCAGCTTCAGAACCAACTACAGAACCAGCTACAGAACCAACTACAGAACCAACTACAGAACCAACTACAGAACCAACTATAGAACCAACTCCAGAACCAGCTACAGAACCAACTACAGAACCAACTACAGAACCAGCTACAGAACCAACTTCAGAACCAACTACAGAACCAACTACAGAACCAACTACAGAACCAGCTACAGAACCAACTACAGAACCAACTACAGAACCAACTACAGAACCAACTACAGAACCAGCTACAGAACCAGCTACAGAACCAACTACAGAACCAGCTACAGAACCAACTACAGAACCAGCTACAGAACCAACTACAGAACCAACTACAGAACCAACTACAGAACCAACTAAAGTACCAACTACAGAACCAACTACAGTACCAACTACAAAACCAACTACAGAACCAACTACAGAACCAACTACAGAACCAACTACAGAACTAACTACAGAACCAACTACAGTACCAACTACAGAACCAACTACAGTACCAACTACAGAACCAACTACAGAACCAACTACAGTACCAACTACAGAACCAACTACAGAACCAACTACAGAACCAACTACAGAACCAACTACAGAACCAAATACAGAACCAACTACAGAACCAACTACAGAACCAACTACATAAACAACTACAGAACAACTACAGAGCCAGCTACAGAACCAGCTACAGAACCAGCTACAGAGCCAGCTACAGAACAACTACAAAACCAACTACAAAACCAACAACAGAATGAACTGTACAACCAACAATTCTCGTTACTTGTGGTTAAAAACCTCCCCAAATGTTGCTCCCGACTATGAGAAACCCAGCGGCAGAATGTCTTCACTGATGGCTGACGGCGCCGCTGAGATAAGTGGCAGGATGAGGTAGATCGAGCGTAACATTTCACGTTTGTTCACTTTATTAGTTTAGCCTTGATTTTCTCTTCAGAAAAGAACGAACGCAGCAATCTTGAGGAGCTCTTCTGGTAGCTGTAGGATAAAGAACGCTCACGGTGAGAGGATGCAACCAAAAACAGACAACGATTAAAAGAACTTTAATTAAATTTCAAACTTTCATTAACTGGTGCCTGTGAAGAACAGATGAGATACAATTACTAATACGGAACTTCGCGAGATAATAAGCAGATTCAACCCAATCTAGAAATGAGGAAAAATGATGGTGTTGAAAGAGCACACATTGAGAAATGTGACAAAATGAGCGGGAAGCCACACAGGGATTACAGGCTGAGTAGGAAACAAACATTCAGAGATAAGAGTGACACAATGAGGCGGGTATTTCCCGATGGCATGAAGGAAGCTGGGTGAGATGACAAAAGTTCCACATTTAGCATAACTGTCAAACAGACACTAGCCACTGATCCTGCGGCCAGGACTTGTAAACTGGTACTGTCATCCTGTCACTGTCATACTGTCACTGACAATAGAACCTGACGACAGTATTGTGTAATCAGTCTACGTCCCGACACGGAACTAGGCAACAGGCAAGGTGCGAGAAACTAGGACATAAAATTTTCAGCTTAAGTCAGCCACATTCTGACGCTGGGCATGACAAGTCTGTCATAGACCCCGTCGAGTCTGTTATAGACCTAGACAAGTGTGTCATAGACATAGTCAAGTCTGTCAGAGACCTAGACAAGTGTGTGTTAGAGCTAGAAGGTGCTTCGGGAAGTGAACACGGACTTATAAGATGAATCTGACGAAAGCCTAGCATTGATCCGTAAGTATTATTTGTGTTATCCGCTAAACAAATCAGTTGCTTCCCTTGTGTATATATGAAGTTTCCCTACGAGATCTGCAGCTCTACCGATGTGGTGTTAGGTGGGAAATACCTACTTCACTTCATAATAATGTCGTAAAATGCATCTAAATAGGAGTTGTTTGATGAAATCAGATTGTTGTGTCAAAATACCTTGATGTCCCAACATAGTGGTAAAGCACGAAAGACGACACAACCGACACATTAGATGTGAATGCGGAAGAATTCACGAATACTTTGTCTCAGTTCTGGAACTGTATGTTTGTAGTCTCTTGCATTCTAGAACAGCTGTGTGGTGACCCGGCTCTGTTAGTGATTAACTCATCTCCTAACCTAGAACAGCTGTGTGATGACCCAGCTCTGTTAGCGATTAAATCATCTCCTAACCTAGAACAGCTGTGTGGTGACCCCGCTCTGTTAGTGATTAACTCATCTCCTAACCTAGAACAGCTGTGTGGTGACTTGTCTCTGTTAGTGATTAACTCATCTCCTAACCTAGAACAGCTGTGTGGTGACTTGTCTCTGTTAGTGATTAACTCATCTCCTAACCTAGAACAGCTGTGTGGTGACCCGGCTCTGTTAGTGATTAACTCATCTCCTAACCTAGAACAGCTGTGTAATGACTCGGCTCTGTTAGTGATTAACTCATCTCCTAACCTAAAACAGCTGTGTAATGACTCGGCTCTCAGTTTGTGATTAACTCATCTCCTAACCTAGAACAGCTGTGTGGTGACCTGGCTCTGTTAGTGATTAACTCATCTCCTAACCTAGAACATCTGTGTAATGACCTGGCTCTGTTAGTGATTAACTCACCTCCTAACCTAGAACATCTGTGTAATGACCTGGCTCTGTTAGTGATTAACTCATCTCCTAACCTAGAACATCTGTGTAATGACCTGACTCTGTTAGTGATTAACTCATCTCCTAACCTAGAACAGCTGTGTAATGACCCGGCTCTGTTAGTGATTAACTCATCTCCAAACCTAGAACATCTGTGTAATGACCCGGCTCTGTTAGTGATTAACTCATCTCCTAACCTAGAAAGCTGTGTAATGACAGCATCTGGCTGTTTACTATCGATGTTGCTTACAGTGACCTTGGATCTGACCTATTAAAAAAAAAAAAAAAAACAGTGTGATTCCAGAATTCTTTATTTTTTCTAGAGATGCCAAATTCTACATGGGCTCTAGGGGCTAGCGAAGCCAACAGATAGATACATACAAACTTCCCCTCTTCAACCGCTGTGTTTGTAGGTAGTACGCGCATAACTTATGTCACAATTGATGTCTACCGTATACTCTCCAACTAGTGCTGTGTCCCCCCCCCCCCCCCCCCCCCAACAAAAAAAAGCCCAAGTATTCGCAGACTTTGGCAGCGGCTTCTTTTTCGTAAAATATTAAAACAGTTATGTAGCTAAATTTGTTGTAATGGATTGCTGTTGTCGCATCATTGCCACCCTCAGTTTCTATTTATAACAGTTTCAAAGCGTCGATTAAAAAAAAAATCACTTGATTGTAAGCACTGGTTCTTTGTGACTGTTGCTGGATCTTTGTGACTGTTGTTGGATCTTTGTGACTGTTGTTGGATCTTTGTGACTGTTGTTGGATCTTTGTGACTGTTGTTGGATCTTTGTGAGTGTTGTTGGATCACTCTATCCAGAGTTAACCGTCTAAAATATTAAAATAACTTTTGGGAAACTGTCTCTTCCGAAGACCGATGTCGTGCTATGAACTCAGCTCGATGCTTTGTGCTGGTCTGACAAATAAGTGACCCGGTTGATTGTAGGGGAAAAGGCAGCGTGACGTAAAAACTCATGGCTGTTTTAAGTTCGTCTGTATTTTCAGATTCGGTAATAGGTACCCCAAAAAGCTAGACATGAGAACAATCTGCAGTTTTTCACTCCTGCTCGCTAGCCGTTCCGTACGTCGATGGTAAAGACTGGTGACGTGATGCGTTCCAGGGATCTGGTATTTACGTACACCGGAGCCTATCTACCAATCCAAACGGACACAGTCGGACCACACTATAACAAATGAAGGAAAGAATCATTGTGAGGCTTCACAATATTTCACACACATCTCCATGACATGATTAACCCGTTCTTTTTGCATGGTCACACATGAAGTACTTTCACATTTCGGATCTATCCGAACCCAAAAACTGTTTTCATTACTTTTCAGCAAAGTAAAATACTGCAAATTTTAAAACTTTATATAGTGGTCCAAAGGACGTTGAGAATCTCGCTCTCCTACAAAATACGCCTGGCCAAATCAGAAGGGGGTCGAAACCAAGGAGGACGCATCAGAAATGAAAGGGAAAGAAGAACAAAGTTGAAAACAGGATAAGAAATGAGCCGTCTGACTTGAAGGAGAGATTACTTCACTAATACTTCCCGTCCTTTTTAGGATCTAATTTTTCGTTATTTAAAGCCCTACTCTGGCTTTTGCCAGGGTCCGCAATATAGCCTGGCCATAAATATGACCTAAAGGCTTAACGCGGTTTCTGGGTCCTCTCCGCGGTGATCCTCAACCACATGGTGGCACATTGTGTCATCGGGTGTTTATCGCTTGTGTGATGTCCTATTGGGGTAGAAAGTCAGTCAGACATGGAGGAAAGAAGCATTAAGCCCAGAGACTGCAAATACCAGAGCTTTAAACACGAAAGTGACGCAAATAAACAAAACCACAAACATAGACGGAGACTGTTGGAAGCTTAGGCTAGCTAGCAGCAGGTTGAACGTGGTTGAGTTTTTGATTTTTGTTCACAAAAGGAAAAGTAGAAAATGACTAGAAGACAGAATCATGAAGGTAAATTACTAGCTGCTGAGAAACGAGGCTGGATCGACAGAAAGGTTAGAAGAAACGAATTAAGAAAGAAAGCTTTGAGAAATAGAGAGAAAATGCTTTTTTTAATGTTCAAGCCGTGTGGTACTGGTATCCATGTCAATCCCCAACCTATTGTCGCGTGTACATCCAATCAGCTCGGACACAGATGATCCTATATGCCATGATGCCAAACTGTCTAGCCTTGAGAATTACTTGCAGTCAATAAATAGATGTAAAAAAAAAGTAAGAAAGAAAGAAAGAAGGAAAGAAAGCTCCCTGTCTGCATATTTCAAATTCTGGAGAAGAAAGCGGAGCTGACAAGGCTGCAGGCAGACTGCAACAAGCGATGAAGCATGTCCGTGTCTGCTTACCTGCACAGCTGTCAGATCTCTCCCTCTGATGATCTCACCAGCAAACTGGCTCTTGTGAGCAATGGGTTCCCTCTATGGAGAAAGGGGGAGGGGAGGAGGATTCTTAGTTGTTACTATCAGCTGGGAGTCTGGTGTTGACTTTCGATTGGCGATCCTTATGTGTGTGTTTACAAAACTGTGGGTGGGGGTGGGGGGATTAGAAACCACAGACACGATCATTACCATCGTTATCGTCAGCAATTAGAAGATAGTTCTAAGAAGGTCTAAGACTCGGTCGTCCTCTAATTCCCTCGCTAACTGCCTCCATAGTTCCTTTGCTAGTTTCCTTCTAGTTCCCTCACTAGTTTCCACTTTAGTTCGATTGCTAATTCCTCGCTGATAAAATACAACTGCTGTGTGAAAGATGGGTGCTTGGAGGGTCGATTGTAAGACGGGCCTCCGTGCCCAATTTGTAAACCTTTGAAAATAAGGTGTGTTGGTTGGTTGTGTTCACGCCCGTGATGTCTTTGATGTCCCGTGCCGCTTGTAGAGCTAGTCAACTCCTGTCTATTGTATGAACAAATCATAGCGTCCAGTGCGGTCCAGTCCAGACAGTTGGTCAGTGTATTTTAGTTTTCGAGACATGAGGTCAATAAGCTAGCAAGTGACATATCAGTATCAAACTTTACTAAATAAAGGGTATTTGTTTCATTCCTAAATTCAAGTATATGCTGGAACTTTCGAGATGTTCTGAAACACACGTTATGTTATTCTTTCTGGAATGTCCTTTTGCGAGATATATATACACATGAGGAATGCGCTTTTGTCAGTTTATTGGACAGTCCTGTAAACTAAGCGAAGCAACTAAAAATGAGCAACCAACCTCACAACGAAGCGTATCCAAGGCAACGACGGTGTAAGCCAACTTCCTTAGCGCATAAAAAGTTTCTTATTAAGCTTGTGTTAGTGGATGGAAAAACTACCCATGAGGCAGCTGAAGTTGCTGGTATCAACGAGAACACAACTAGAAACATCATCAGTGTCTACAAACAAGAAGGTGCTATTTTCCAGCCAAACTGGGATGGAATCAACAAAGGGAAACTGACACCCAATGTCCAGCAGCTCATTGAAATCATCGTTGAACGACATACAGATGATACTTTGTTGTAGACACAGCAGCGGAGGAAGGAGAACGGGGCTGACTTGGAGTATCTACAGTTTTTTATGTCCTCAAACACTCGAACCAGGGCAGCAGTCTCTCTCACTGATGAGCTGTAGGACATGCTGAAGTGTTCAATGACACACTGATGGAGTCTCTCTCACTAATGAGCTGTAGGACATCATGAAGTGTTGACTGATACACTGA